CTCCCCCTGCTTGTGTTCCCTCGCTCGCTGTCTCTCTCTGTCAAATAAATAAATAAAATATTTAAAGAAAAAAAAATATGGAATGCTTCATGAATTTGCATGTCAACCTTGTGCAGGGGCCAAGCTAATCTTCTCTATATCATTGCAATTTTAGTGTATGTGCTGCTGAAGTGAGCACTAAATTTCTGACTTTTTTTCTTTTTATTTCAGTTTTTATTTAAGTTCAAGTTAGTTAACATATATGGAAAAATTGGTTTCAGGTATAGAATTTAGTGATTCATCACTTACATATAACACCCAGCACTCATCACAAGTGCCCTCCTTAACACCCATCACCCTTAGCACCCTTAACACCCATCAACCATTTAACCCATCCCCCAAGCCCCAAAAAATCTAATCTGCCATGCTGAGCCCTTAAGACCACATGGCAGCAGTCATCTGCAGCCAGGCAGTAGCATCCCTCTTAGACAGAGCATGCACTCACCAGTTTGTCTCATTCCCATTCCCATCCCTCCCTGTGGTTACATCCTGCCCACTTGATTCACTTCTACTTGTCCAGCCCCTGTAGGCATTGAGTTTTTGATTCCTGATTGACACTATGTGCCAAAAAATCTACTCTTCCGATGACAACAAAAATACCCAGAATTTTCATTGGACTGGCTCCACCCATTTCTTCCATTTTATTGCATCGCCCTTCCAGTCCCCTCCCTCAATGCACTGATGACCATACACTGGTTGCTGATTATCCCCCCCCAAGGAATGCCAGCCTGACCCCAGAAGGCCAGGCCGTGGGCATGGTTCCCTTCGAGATGTCTCCACAAACCTCCCCCTGACTCTTAGAATCCCTCTGTTGCATACACAGAATCACATTGCCATTTAGTTGAATTTCTTCATTGTACAGCTTAAGAAATGGAAAATGTGACATTCAAGAATTGCACGCAATGAAAACTGTGTAAAACTGTGACTAGAACTCAGGCAACAGGGACGTGGGAATTTCTCACCAAACCACGTGCTATTCGTGAGGCTCTTGCCTCAGTGCCCCTCACATCTCCACTGCAGGGCATCATGCCATATGCATAAGGAGCTCTCTGACTGACTGATTGATTGCTCACTCAGCGCTCCTGGCAAAACAGTTCTCACTCTGTTGAACAAATTATCTTTATGCATTGCAGTCTCTAGAGCTGAGATTAGGGGGAGCTCACTATAATCTTCAAATCATTTAGCAATGTCTTGGAACCACTGGACATGATACAAGGATCTAGGAAAAACGTCCCCTGTTGGCATGTGGAAAGGAAGGCGGCGGGGGGGAAGCAGGAACTCTGAGGCACTGTGCTAAGGATTTAAGTTTTATTTTTTACTGCCTGCAGCCAAATGTTGCTCACTGCCTGTTTTTATAAAGTTTTATTGGAACACAACCATACATTCACGCTACAATGGCAGGGTTGAGTGGTTGCAGCAGAAAGAGTATGGTCTGCTGATCCTAAAATATTTATTGTCTGGCTCTTTATAGAAAAAGTTTTCTGAAGCTTGATGTAAACCATTCATCAGCCCTCAAGGCTGAATATTACTTTATACTCGCTTAACCGAAGGGCAGCTGGTACTCAGAGAGGGAAATGTCGCTTGTCCATCCTGCCACCCAAAGCGTGGTGGGATGGAACTCAGGTATTTGATTCTAAAACCCATCGTCGTTTGACCACATGTCCACAGGATAAAGTCCAAATTCCTAGCAGGGATCAAACCCACTTGTCCAACTTCTCCCTCCCGTGCACCCGTCAGGCCAGCAACTTTGAACTCCCTGCTGGCTTCCAAACACGCCGTGCAACTTTCTGCATCCACATCTTTGCAAACGATACTTCCTTTTCACCAAATCCCCGACGTCTTTCTCTATATGTGAAATCCCTTCATGACGCATCGCAAATCTTACCTCCTCCATGGAACTTGCTCTTTGTCAGACAATTAATGAGAACAAGAGCCAACATTATTAGTATTTTCTTTGAGCCGTGAACTAGGCTGGCCACTCTGCTGTATGTTCTATGTAATCTTTTTATGACAACCCTATGAGGTAGGCACTGATAATCTCACTTTCAAGGGGCACACACAGGTTGAGAGAGGTTAAGTAACTTGGCCAGCATCCCAGAACTAGGGAGGTTTGGACCCGGGATTTGGCCCAGGTCTGTCTGATGTTCAAGTTCAGCTGTTACGACCACGCTCTAGGCAGCATTGTTGTCTGCTCTTGCAGTTTCTCCTACAGACTTGGCTTTATAGCATTTGCTCAGTCTGTTGGGACGGTGCCTGTCTCCTGGAGGCTGGGAGACACATCCCTTTATGACTGTAACCTGGCCCATGGAGGTGACTCAGTCACTGTTTGTGGGAGAATGCCGGCACCTTGTCTTCACCATGCCAATCCTGAACCTCAGTTTATTGTTCTATCCATATTATTTCAACAGCATTTAGCAATTTTGGGAAACAAGGTTTCCCCCAATTCCTTTCTGTTGGTGCCACCATCTCTCTGCCTCTGAGTGGACTGCGTGCAGTTGACCACCCAGGCCCATTCCTGGCTCGGCTCCGAGCTTAGATTTCACTTTGGTTGCTTGGTGTGCATTTATTAGTGTTTAAAAAAGGTTCTTGTTTCATCCATAATTAAGTCATAGTTCATAGCTGTGAATAAAAGAGGGGTTAAAAGTAGCAACCAAAAATGACTCTTTTTTCCCCCCATAGCCTGCCTTCCTCTAGAAGAATGCCCCAATTCTGAGCAGCGATGTGAATCCACACACCCATGTGGGCTTGCTCAGACTCAAAGAAGGGAAATGTGTTGAACTATCATTACTCACTGATAAATAATAACAGCAGCAACATCAACAATAACATCCTGACTGCGGTCAGTTGGCACACTTCATGGTGCCTTTTATGCAGTGGCAGCCAGGGTGTAGACAGGGCGCAGACCCCGCCCTCTTGGGGCCCCTAGCCCGCTACAGCCCACTGTGATCGGGGATCTCGGAAGAGGGGCCTCCGCCAGCCCGTGAGGTGGGAGGCACAGGGAAGGCCTGGGAGAGGGGCAATGGGAGGCGGCAGCGTGGGGCATCCGGCATCAGCTGGAGCTTGGCGCAGCGCTCAGACAGCTCTTGCTTTGTCTGGGATAAGTGACAACAGAGAGAGGAGGATTCAAACGCAGGTCCCCTCAGCAGGCTCTGAGTTCAAAGCAATGGTGGAGTGGTGGTTGTCTTTGGGGTGCACTCCCCGACTCCCAGGTCCCTACTGTAGGGATCTGAAGACCACGGAGAGGTGGGACGGTGCCTGGCAGCCCTCCCCAGCCTGTCTCCACCCCTCTCACATCCCTTCTCTGACACCCACATCACTGCCTTGTCAGGGAAGATCATTCTTTCCTGGGACCACACAAACGAACGGTGTAAAGAATCCACTGGCTTCTGTTGCCTTGCCTTTTAACAGAGGTTCCAAACAACAGTTACCCAGGGGATGTGTCTGAGCCGAACTGTGGAAGGGTATGGAATTATCTACCAGCTTGACAAGCGATCCATCGCATCAGGATTTCTGGAGGAGAACGGGCCGGGTGCTGCCCTAGCCATCTCAACTGGGCTTTGCCTGCCCGAGTCTCCTCCAGGATGCTGGAAGGAACTGGAAGGTCCACTGTAAAGTCAGCGTCTCAGCCGCAGGTGCCGGGAGAGCCGCATGGCTGTCAGCATGGCTCCCATCAACACCAGCCCTGGAACGACCCTGGGAGGAGCCAGGGGGCTTCTGCTCTTGTTCTCTTGGTTTGTGGCTCTTGGTTTGTGGCTACTTTGCCATGAAACCAGAGGCAAGGGGCATTCAGCCTGGGTGGTGGCACCTCTGCCCCATCTCCCACACAGGGTGGAGGAGGGCGCATGGCTTCATGCACGCGGCCATGTTTTGAAGGGTTTCTAAGAGCCCTAAGTGCATGCTATATAGATCCATTGCCTCATGTTCTAGGAGGATGGAAAGGGATGTAATGACCGGGGTCTGGGCTGGGTCCCAGCTGATGCGTAATCCTGTCTCTGGCATCTCTCTGTGGGTTTCCCCTTGGTTTTGAGCGGCGGGGTTGGGGGATTGCTAAGTGTTTCTTGTTCAGTATTCCTGGTCCCCATGATAACAGAGGCTGTGAATTATGGACACAGCAGCAAATGTTTTTAATCTCCCATGAAACAAAACCAGTGTGTTTTCTGCACCAGGGGCCGAGGGCGAGGGAACAAACAGACAGCTGCTCTGATATGGCTAACTCAGGCTGACGTCAATGAGAGTCGGTCCAGGCCAAGGACTCCACTCAGGAAGCTTCAAAGTGATACCGAAAACAAATTTGCATTTTTTCCTTTCACGGGAACTCAGCTACTCTCAGTTCCACCGAGATGTTTTCACCAGCCTCTGCAACTGGCTAGTTATGTTGAATAAACAGGGCTTGCAGGGTAATGGGAATGCAGCATGAGTTTTTGCTTTATACTTCCCCTTTAAAATTTATGCAGCGGGATTAATGTTCCCTGGCCCTGGATGAAAACACTGGCAGGCGCTGACTTTTCTGCTCCTCTTAGGAAATAGTCTGTCCTAAGGTCGCTTGAAATGGAAAACAGTCTCAATTTGGAATTTGAACGTCTAGGCCAAGATATTAGTCAAAACTGTAAACTTTGACATCTCATTCTTCTCCCCGCTCCAGCCTCGCTTGTTTAGGGCTGGAAGCCTGCGTGGGAAAGGGGGCTTCTCTGCTGGACTCCTGCACCCCACTCCCGCTGCCCCCTCTCCCCCCAGGGTGGAAGCTAGGGTGGAGGGAGGAGTAGAAAAGAGAAGGCAGCTCTCACTTGAGTGGGGGAGTGGGAGGGGGCTGGCTGAGGCTCTGAGCTGACTCTTCTCCTGGTGGGGCTCTTCTGAGGGCCTGCGCTTCCTGCTAGGTGGAGGCGTCGCTCTTCTGGGTGGTCACTTGCGACTTTTCCCTCCATCCCTGGGGTTTACCTCCAGCTCCTTGCTGCTGGGGTCTCTGGTCCTCCAGACAGCCCCGAGGAGGCACCATACTGGCTCCCTCCCCATGGGGCCTACATCTGGCTCCAACCTTCACGCATCACTTGCCCTGACAAACTCTGGAATGGAAGGTGACCCCAACCCAGGGGCTTGCTGCAAGAGTCACCTGCAGATTCGTTCCCCGTGGTTGCTAGAACA